CTCATTTTTTTTTTTTTTTCATTTTTCAGGGAATGAATTAGGAGGACGACCGATATTAGGGGTGGCAGTCGGGGCCAATCCATACGTGAACGACACATCTGTCCTTGGAGATGTGATAAAAGAGATTTACAAGGGGTCCCGTGATAAGCCGCTGGTCATTGCGCCCGGAGGAATATTCGAACCCAACTGGTTCAGTAGCTACATACCCAAGATGAAGGGAATACTGGACGTGATCACTCACCACACGTACCCTGTCGGCTCAGGTACTCGACAAGCAAATTAAAAATGACTTGGCTTATTCATACTTAAAAGAAAATTCGGATTCTATTAAGTTTCGTTTTAATAATTTTGTAGGGGCCGACACGAACCTCATGGACAGAATTCTAAATGCAACGGCACTTGATGAAGTAGTTGAAGTATTCAGTGGCCTCTATAAGATTCTCAAGGAATCTCGAACCTCGACAGTTGCCTGGATTGGCGAGTCGGGTGGAGTGTACAACAGTGGCCGTGATGGGATCACAAACACGTTCCTCTTCAGTTTCTGGTAAATTATAGGCGGGCATGTTCAAAATCTCGTCCATTGTTTTTTTTTTTATGCTTCTTATAATTAACTAACTAAAATAGGTTCTTATTGCTAATGAACGAACGAATAAAATAGGTATTTAGATAGCCTTGGGATTGCGTCCATTTACGACACCAAGGTGTACTGCAGGCAGACATTGGTCGGTGGTAACTATGGCTTGCTCGACACCACAACTTTTGTTCCAAATCCAGATTACTATAGGTTTGTAGCCAAATCACAACAATTCCTCGTTTATCTTCCTTTTGATCGTCTTTTGTCGAATGTTCGGAATTCGGATATAAATTTAGCCGGTCGTATTTTGCAGCGCACTTCTTTGGCACCGTTTGATGGGGAAAAGGGTTCTTCGAACAAGATTTAAAGGGACTAAAAACATACGTGCTTACACCCATTGCGCAAAACCATCCGTAAGTCGATATATTTGCCAAAAATCACTTTTCTAGTCCTTACGAAAGGCGCATTTCGAGATTTAGTCCTTATTTTTTTCGACTCCTCTGAAATCGGTCCTTTGACCTCTGTTCTGACACATACAACCTACAGAAAGGAATCACGGTATTACTGATAAACCTTGACGGCAAAACCAAATTCCATGTGAAGCTCGACTTCAACACTACTTATCCGCATAGCTCGAAATTGAATTCAGAGTTTGATGGTGAAAAACTATACAGAGAAGAATACCACTTGAGCCCGATGGACGGGAACATACAGAGTCGCACGGTTTTGCTCAACCACAAGGCATTAATTGTCGACTCAAACGGCACTATACCTGCACTTAAGCCCCTTCGAGTAGCTTCTTCAAAGCATGTCACCGTTCATCCGCATACCATTGTATTCGTACACATTGCTAATGTCTCTGTTCATGCATGTAAATAGCCCGAGTTCAACTAAAATCCGGTCACATTGACTATATATAGCCACAAATAGTTTATAGTTAGATTGGTCTAGATAAGAAGTGGATCGGATGTTGTGTTATGTTGTTGTGTATACTAAAAAATGGATTATGATATTTTAAGATTATAATTAATACCCAAATTTACACATGTAACACAAATTTCAAATTTCGTATTCTTGGATTAATAAATATGAGAAATTCGTACAAATTGATTTTCAACGAATCAAATGAAATATAGTGGATTACAAGTTTCTATTATTCCTCTTATTAATTTTTTCGAGAACGATCTTCAAATAGACTTGAGACTTTCGGAGACGAATCTTCAATTTGATCTCCGTCGGTATTGAATAATGTTTCTTCAATGGCTTGACAGCTTGATCTCGAATCGAACATTGTGATTTCTCAAGAACGTGAATAACGCGAGTTCTTGGTCTTCGCCGCAAAGTTGATATTCGATCTCTCTACGCCGGTCTTGACTTTAATAACGTAGTTCGAAGGCTTGTCAACTTGTTTACGGATTAAACGTCGGTCTTGAGTTTGAACGCGCTTGAATCTTGCTTGGAATCTTCAAGAACACTTTTGGATCTTCTTGACTTTAATAACGTAATTCAGATGCATGACAGCTTGTTTCCGGATTGAACGTCGGTCTTGAGCTTAAATGCGCTTGAATCTTGTTTCGAATTTTCAAGAACGCATTCGGATCTTCAAGAACACTTGAATCTCGTTGAGAGAATTTTCTATAGCTCTTGAACTTGAATATGACTTGTATGAACTTGAATATGAATTGTGATTTTGACCTTAGGGAGAACCGGATCTTCAAAACAACTTGAATATGACTTGTATGAACTTGAATATAAATTGTGATTTTGACCTTAGGGAGAACCCCTATTTATAGATGTTAGGATAGAGAAACTTGGAAAATAAGACTTCAATTTGATTGGTCTATAATTTTCAATATTTATCTCTTAATATTTATTTAAAAAGATAATTAGGAGATGGAGTTTTGGTAAAGAAGACTCAAATTTGATTGGTCCATGAAGTTCTAATATTTATTTCTTTAATAATTTATAAAAGAAATAAATATTTATTTTACTCTCCAAGAAAATGACATGTGGCATCCTTTAATTGACTAACAATATATATTAAAAAATCTATTGATTAACTATTTAATTTCAAAATTAAAATTTGTTTAATTTCCTAAATAAAATAGAGAATTATTGAATTGATTTTAACATCAAATTTGATACTTGTCGCTATTTAATTAACTCAAAATTTAATTGTATACAAATGTCTCCTCGAGACTTGTTCACGGACAACGTAACTTGGAGTGAATAATGATTTGATTTGGGCTTGGGAAACTTGTCATGGGAATTTGGTCTCATACAACCTCAATGATTTGGGCTTGGGTAACTTGTCATGGAAATTTGGACTCATGCCACCTCAATGAAGAGAGGACCAAAATGCATACCTGTCCTCGTATTAAAAGAAAATTCCATTACAGAAACCGACTCTACAAAATTCCACAAACACATTAGTAAGAAATTACTTATTAAACAATTTTTAAATTAAATAATTGCTCTCTCTCTTTCTTCTTTTCATTCTCTCTCTTCTTTATCTTCCTTTCTTCTCTTTCAGTTTCTTCTCCCTTTTTCCTTTTTCTTCTTCTTCATCCATCAATGTCTTTCCTTTCTTCTCTTTTAAGTTTCTTCTCCCTTTTTCCTTTTTCTTCTTCTTCTTCATCCATCAATGTCTATAAAAAGATAGACATACAAAAAAAACTTTAAACAAATAAATAAATCAAAAACCAACACAAATATATATTGTAAAAACAACAAACAAAACAAGATAAGCAACAACAATAATAAAATCTCTTTTAAGCAACATAAAAACAACTATATGTAAACATTAAAAATATCAACCTAACCACAAAACAAGATAAGCAACAACAACAATAAAATTTATTTCAAGCAACATAAAAACAATTATATGTAAACATTAAAAATATCAACCATCATCACTTTTTCTGTATTACCTGAAAGATTCACATTCACATTTCTATCGGTAACAAGTACTCTTTATTCATAAAAATACAAATTTCAAAAGAAAAAATCATTAAAGTTATACGAATTTATACAAATACTCTTTATTAATAAAAGTTATAAAAACGAAGCCAAAAAAAATAATGGTGGGATCAACCAGTCAACTTAGATCTCAATTTCATAAGAAAAATCTAAAATTATCCAACCAACCCGGGTTCGGCATTACGTCTGTTGGCCCTTTTGACCCGGTTTGCTAATCTTAAATTAAGGCAACAAAGGATGATTAAATTCAAACCTCCGAAGCGCACTTCAGCCCCGAGGTGGTGATGCCGCGATTGACGAAGCTTTGCGTTTCTTAAAAGGAACCATCTTTACCGAATAAAGATGTTCTTGTCGTTCTTTCAATCCGAAGATTTGGAATGTGGATTTTGGGCAGAAATTTGGGAAGTAAATTTGGAGGAATATTAGATCTAGGAGAAATAGAAGATGAGGTTTATCAGGTTAAATAAGAATAAAAAACAAAAATAAAAAGAAAATATAAAAATAATAACTGCTGTTTTGAGTAAAAATGAAAATCAAAATTGATTTGTGGCTAAATAATAATCAGGCTCATAAATGTAAATCAATATTTATAACGGTCAAGGGATGTCATTATTTCTAATAAGCGCCATAATGATCTCACACACTTTTCCTTCACTTTTGGTAAAGCCCACGTAAATGCAAGGCTAAACAACTAAATTTGGTCCTTTCTAGCCCATTTTCATTTGATTAGGCCCACTAATTCATTATTTGTTGAAATCAAGCCCANTTTTTTTCATTTCAACCCAACGTGGCCCAAAATACATCAAATGTATTTTCTACTTTCTATATCAAGTTCACCGTATATGAAGACTGAGTTGGAGTGGGTTAAAAAAAATTATTTATGTAGTTTAAAGTATACTACTATTATTTTAGATAAATAAAAAAGGCATTGGAAAAGAGGAAGATAAAAATAGGAGTGCAGTGAAACCCTCGCCTAAGACCTGCAGCTCTGTTTTCTCAATCGTTCTGATTTTTTTTCACTCATGAGCCGTTTTTAGCTGTTAATTTAAAATACTTGAATGTTTATTAAATGAGAGACATTGTTTATAAATAAAAAATATAATCAATATAATAAAGCTTATTTTTTAAAAATGAATTTGAATAAAATAAATTTAATTGTAAATAATATTTGATTTAGACATATATAATTTATAAAATATAATTAAAAATATCATTTTTGACAAATTTAGTGTACAAATATTGGGCACTGTTGTATACACATAATATTAATATATTTTATAATTTAATATCCGTATAATAATACTATTATTATTTCTATATATAGATAATATATATATATATATACTCTCACTCTTATTTTTATACTTACTCTTATTTATAAAAAGAAAGTATATGTCCCCTTTTCTTGACACGTGTCTCCTTTAATATTAGAAGGCCACGTCGCTCAATATAAAAACGACGTCGTTTTATGAAGAAGTTTCTGAACCGTTGATTTTAGGGATCAAATCCCTACCGTCGTGCTTTAAATAATCTCCTCTCTCATTCTTGCCGACTAATCTCTCTCTCCCTATGTTTCTCCTTCTCTGTTCTTCACGATACACAGATAAACCTTCGGTCGATTGTTTGTGAGGCGTGAAGAATGTAGCCAACGAACTGTGGTCGCCGGTCTTCACCACCACAGAGCCGAGACTCACTGAGGGTACTGGAAAGAAGGACGAGCGGAGAGACTTCGTGTCTTCGTTTTACGGACATATTCCAGCAATTGAAAGGGGGTTTCAACACTTTCGTCCGTTATCTTTTATTCCAGCATTTGTTCTGATTTAATTTCCCATTTATTTTGCTTCTATTGACTGAAATTTCCTTTTTGGTTGATTTATGCTCTAATCGGGCGCTTAAAAGGAGCATTCGATTCATCCCGGAGTTATTCGAGAGCTTTCCGAGAGGCACATATGACGGGAAGCGCCTTCTACAAAACTTGACGGGCTGACGAGCCCGGAAGAGAGCTTCCGCTGCTACTCTTCATCTTTTTCTGGTATTTTAGGTACCGTACTTTTTTAGCACATACGAATTACAAATTGGATATATAACTGTGGATTCACACGCACTAATGTTAATATTTGGGTTGTTTGAATGGAAGAACACTCATCGTTTATCAATCATGTGGCCGCCACACGCATTTGAGTCATATTCTCAATGTTCTTCAGCTTAAAGGTACTTTGCTATTACCCGATATTGTTTCAGTTGCACATGTATTTTCTGCAAATACAGTACCTATAGAATTGTAGATGTTGGATGCTATTTATATTTATTATGTTAATTGCTTTTAAAGTTCATTTTTTAATTTTTTTTTTTATAAAAGTTGTAATATTCTGTGATCTACGATGTGATAGAACAAATTATTGATTTGCTGCTGCAATATCTTCTGGCCTCTAGGCTCTGTTTGTGCTTGTGTAAGCCTGCATATATCGTGATTGCTGTTGTTGATTCTTTGATGATTGTGTTTTCTGTGGTAGCGAGTACCATATTTCTAACGTTTTCTTATCATCCGTAGTATGCTTGTGTTCATATATGGTTAGATTAATGCTTAGTTTAGTGTTTTCTTTTATTTATTGTCCAAGCTATTAATTTCTTTTGATTTACTGTAATGTTGAGGCTTTGCTATTGCAAAAGACATGATTTCCCAAATGGAATCAGGTTATTTGTTGCCAAAGAAGAGAACCTTGAGGTCTTGAGTGGGCCAATTGAAGAAAGTCCTTGTTATTGAAGCTGGGTAAACTATCTTCATCACCCTTTTTGCTTGATGGTGAAACATTCCTTGGTCAAAGACTTTGATGTTGTCAACTGCTGGATTATTAGCGTCAGTTAATCTCATCTCTCTTTTTTTTACAATGACATTTGCT